GGGGGGCACCGGTGGCCGCGGGGGGGCCGGGCAGCCCTGTGGAGAGAGGAGACGGTCCCGCGTCAGAGCTCGGCTGCAACGCCGGCGCCGAGCGGCTGGGGAGGCCGAAGGGGGACGGCCATGGGGGGGGGAGCGCAGCAGCAGCCCCTCCATCCCCATCCATACCCCCCCACCCCTCACCTGGTACGCGTGGTCGGTGTGGACGTGGCAGAGACCTGGGGGGGCCGGGGGGCTGCGGGGGGAGGCCAACGCCAGGTCGGGACTCGGCAACGCCGGCGGCACTGGACCCTGCGCCTCGGGGCCGGGGAAGGCGGGCGGCACCGAGGAGGTGGGGGAGACGGGCGTCAGGCTGGAGAGCCCGTCCGTCAGCGAGTCCACGTCCACGTCCAGCTCCGTGTAGTAGAAGTCCTCCTCGCCGTCGCTCTGCTCGAGGTCGGCTTTCCGGCTGCGGGGAGAGCAGGGTCCGGCTGGGTGGCTCGCTCTCCCCTCCATGGCAGGACCCCGCCAGGGGCACCGGGGGGGAGGTCTGGGGGTGTCCGGGGAGACCCCGGGCGCTTACCCAAGGTGCACAGTTCGGATGTGCTTCTGCATCCCTGAGGAGCTGCTGAGGACTTTGCCGCAGCTCTTCCACAAGCACTTGAACATCACCTTGGTGGAGTTCTGCAGGAGGGAGACATCAGGCTGGCAGCCCCGGCCCTGTCCCCAGCGTCATCCCCAGCATCGTTCCCATCCCCATCTCCATCATCATCCCCATCCCCATCCTCGTCTCCAACCCCACCATCATCCCCATTGTTATGCCCAACCTCATCCCCATCCTCAACCGCATCCCCACCCCTATCATCATCCCCATCCTCAACCTCATCCCCACTGTCATCCCCACCCCTAACCTCATCCTCCTCTTCATCCCCATCCTCGCTAGCCCCCGCTGTCCCCAACCTCGTCCCCATCACCACCTCCGACTTCATCCCACCTTCCTCTTCCGCGGCATGGGCTCTCCGAAGACGAAGTGGGTGCCGTCGGGCTCGTCGGGGCCCTCGTCCGGCAGCGGGGCGGGCAGGAAAGTGCTGGGGACGTGGCTGGAGAGCGGGGGCGATGGGGTGGAGGGGGTGGAGCGGTCGCTGGGGGGGTCCCAGCTCCAGTCCCCGCTGGTGTTGCTGCTGCTGCTGCAGCTGGAGGACATGGCGGGTGCCTCCTTCCAGACCTCACCGCCGGGCTCTGGCGAGGAGGAGGAAGGTCAGGTCCTGCTGTGGGACACGTGTCCAGG